ACGAACAATGAGTCGGTTTCCAGTCATAGAGCACAGTAAGAGGAAATTTTTTATCGTCAACAGTATAGTAGATCTCATCCGGTAAAGGAGAAGAACTACTAACCTGGACACAGACTCTAGCAAAAGTGAGTCTCGTTTTTGCCGCAGTAAGAGCGTCGACAACCAGCGGGATTCCCACACAGCTCGCGATCTTTGATATTCCTTCAGGCGTCCAGCAAGACAAAGGAAAGTTTTTTATCTTGATCCAAAGCGGGATTGACGGGAACTCTTCCCTAACAGGGACAAAATCGGGGGTCCATTTCTGTAAAATAAAAGGCTTTCCGAAGAAAAACCAAGGTCCGCCTGACCAGGCCATATCGTAGTCTTCTCTATTGTTGAACTTGAGGAGGAAAAAGCCTTCATCCAAGGTGAGCAAGGTAAGGGAACCTTTTAAAGACCAGGCCTTTTTAATCGTCGAGAGGAGCGCTTCGTAGTACGGTCGTCGGCCAATCGAGTAGCCGACCAGAGATAAAGCCCATTCAGGAGAACCCGCGTTGAACTGAGCGGAGGTGAAATGAGCAGTAGCGTTTTCGGTAGGGAAGTGAGCGATCGACGAGGTAAACTCGTTCGAAACAAGCGGCTGAGTAGCGATGAGGCTCTTCCAGTCTCGAGGAAGAAGAGAGGAAGATGAGGGGGTGTTAAGCGGAGGGTTGAGAGGTGGAAAAATGGAGGAGGACATCCCTACGGAGGTCCCCCCGTGAAGGAGGGGGTGGCGGCCAGGGGAGAGCAAACAACGAAACCCTAGCAGAGCACAAAATATCTCAGAGCACCACGAAAAAGGATGAAATATGCTGCTCGTGCTTTCATTCACAAGGGAAGGAATGAGATGTAAAAGGAATAAGGACGAGAGAAGAAATCAACATTAATTTTAATCAAAATTACATATGCTCTCTCCCTTTCCTACTTATGCAGTTCGGCGGCTTTACTGGATTTGGCCGAAGTGGCGCGTGAAAGGGGAGAGAGTTACCTTCACAGCCAGCGAGCTCCCAGTTGCTTCTCCCGATCAAAATGGAGTAATTTCCGATCCTAAGGAAGGGAAAGTCGGAGATGGAGCTAAGCCGAGTGGCAATGGGAGAGAGGCGTCGGTTTGGCAAGGTAAGAGGTTTCTCTCTCTCTCTCTCTCTCTCTCTCTCTCTCGGCCGATGGGTATGGGAGGATCGGAAGAGGTGGAGTTCGGCAGAGGTGGAGCTTGAGGTCGGACAGAGAGGAGTATCGTGGGAGAGCAGCCGTGAGTTCGTGAGAGTGGAAGAGCAGCGATTGTGTAGAATCGGAGAGAGCCACTGAAGGCTTCATTCGCTCGGGTATTTAACGATGTCTGAGAGCAACGATCGAGGCCATTTGCGATTTTTGCGGGAGGTGATCGATTCGGCGCTGCTGCACAGTACCTCGGAGGAACTTCGACAGGATTTGCGGGATCCAGGCAACAGAGGTATGCGGGATTTCTGCTCTCCTCTTTTGGTCTTTACATGGAGGTCAACAGTGGGAGTATTAGCATTGTATTTTCTGATTCTCTAATGAGAATTCCTAAAGGCTTGGAGTGGTCATATTTAGTGATTGTTGTCATTGGTAGATGATTCTTATAATTTGAAATCTTCTACCTTTTTCCCCTGATTTGTTTGTCATTGAATAGAATGTTTATTCCAGATAAAGTAGTTTGAGTTTCAGGAAGCTTCTTTTGCAAGGATATACATGAAAGTACTTTGGAAGTTTTTTAAAGCTAATTAAAAAGAGGAGCTCAGCAAAAAGTGCTCACAAAAAAAATGGTAGAAGAAAGCTTACAAAAAAGTGAAAAAAAGAGCTTCCAGAAAGGAAATGTTTAAGGATAGCTTGTATTGTAAATAACAATTTAAATAAACCTCTTAACTTAAACCTGGAGGCTTTCTTTGAATGAACGAATATTTAAATGCCATAGGAGTGTGATGCTTCTCCATCATTCCATTTAGACTTGATTATGATGATTTTGATGTCAATTTCATCATTATCAATGGTGTCTTCTTAGGGTAGGTGCATGTTATGCAAAAACCTGAAAAATGTTAAGTCTTTATCTCTAATTTGGCTTGTTGAGTTTGGTTTGTTGTATATATTGTTCTACTTGAGTTAGAGTTTAATAATAAAAAAAAATTAGACTCATACATTTATACTCAATGTCAAAATCTCAAGCATCCCTTGGCATTTGTTCCCACGGTCAGGATGGGAATCCGTGAGAGGCTCACCTGGATCACGCCAATATCCTTCTATATTTGGGTAGCTGACTTAAGAAGGATTATATTGAGGCAATTATGTATCAATTAGAAGTTATTTATTTCTTTATTAAGTCATCTTGTACATATCTATAAATAGGGATAATTTTGTATAATAAGTAGAAGGTATTTTTACCCTTCTCAAATTCTATGAATTCTAACATGGTATCAGAGCCAACGGCCTTCATTGCCGATTGAAAAACGATCCTAGAATTGTCGGAGGAAAAGAAGAAGAAGAATAAATCGGAGCTGCCAGACGCTGTGGATGCTGCTCCGACTCGGACGAACGCAAGCAGACGCAGTCGAACAACCAGACACCGCCCGAAGCTGCCTACTATTCCGGACGAATGCGGCCTACCTTCAGCTTTTGATCCGGGATGGGATCTGACGGACCGACCGCCGCAAACATTAAACCCTGAAGCCTGAGGCTGAAGCCGGAAATCTCGATCTTTTGCGAAGAAGCTCAAGCCTTGCGGACGGACGAAGCCGTGCGGAACAATTGAAGCCTTGCGAAGACAAAGCTTTCAAATGGACGGAGTTGTGCCGACGAAGCCAAATACCCGATGGAACCTACAGGACGGTGCGTGAGTAAACACTCTCGTTTGTTCTTTTTTTTCCGGATTCATTCGGGAAAATGCCGCACGAAGCTCTTGGACGGGCGGACAATAGCAAGAAGTCTTAAATCAGATTTAAGATCTGATTAAGATCTAATATCAGCCTTTATTGCTGATACAAGCAAATCAACCTTTATTGTTGATCAAATCAACCTTTATTGCTACTATAAATACAGCCTTCATTGCTGGAAACCCGAGGAATACAAAATTCCCACCACCGACCTTCATTGTTGGAATTCTGAGAAATACAGGTTCCCGCTACCGGCCTTCATTGCTAGAATTATGAGAAATACAGGTTCCCACTACCGACCTTCATTGCTGGAATTCTGAGGAATACAAGTTCCCACAACCGGCCTTAATTATCGGAATTTTGAGGATAGTTTTTCATCATCGGCCTTCATTGCCGTCTATCTATTGTGATTGATATCCTATCTATAACAAATTCAACTCTACCTCTGAGCGTGTAATTGCAAGCTGGTCTCCAGCTTGAGGGAGTGTCAAAATCTTAGCCATCCCTTGGCATTTGATCCCACGGTCAGGATGAGAATCCGTGGGAGGCTCACCTGGATCACGCCAATATCCTTATATATTTGGTAGCTGAATTATGAAGGATTATATTGAGGCAATTATGTATCAATTAGAAGTTATTTATTTCCTTATTAAGACATCTTGTATAGATCTATAAATGGGGATAATTTTGTATAATAAGTAGAAGGTATTTTTACCCTTCTCAAATTCTATGAATTCTAACACTCAATAGTAATCTCCTAATTATGTATATATTTTATTCCCATTGTGAGTTTGATATAAGCATCAGTTTATGAGGCTCCTTGTTCAACGCAACCCAAGGATACAATGATTTGTCTGCTACCTTATGATTTGATCTCCTAATATATTTAAGCCGCCCTCAAAAGTTGATAATAATAAAAAATTTACTCCTGCTTGATGCATTTCTCTTTGTATGTTTCAAATTCATTGATCTTTTTGGTTGGGCCGTTTGACCAAAACTCAAACCTCAAAGCAAATGCAGTCACTTGTTAGGTTTCTCTCAGATTATGTTTGGGTTACCAAAGCCCATTCACTCTATCACTTCGTATGGGTCTCTGATAAGAAGTGGCAAGCTCTTCGCTGTGACAGTTTGCCCATCTTATGGGTTGATTACCTTGAGTATGATTTTTCATCATGAGTATTTTTGGTCAAGTTTTTTTGTCTGGGTTCAAATTTCCAAACTAAAATCTACATTCTTATATTAAGGTAAATGTTCCCTTTGTCATCTGGGTTCAATCTTCTAAATATATATATAGAAAAAGGGGTAGATTCAAATTCCTCCCGTTTTAAGTGTCCCTTTTGGGTCTTAGGATTGGGTTTAGATCATCTAAAAAACCCAGATGCAAAATATACTAATGATATGCTTGAATGAGAGAAGATACGTTGATCCTATGTTAAGGTAAATTTCCCTTTTGCCATGTGAATCCAGTCTTCCGAACAGATACAAAGAGGAATTCATCTTCATCTAAATGCCTTCAAATCCCCTCTCCCCATTTATGGGATAAAAGAAGAGGATGAGGATGTGGATGAAAATAAAAAAGAGGTTGCTTGAGATGGGTTATTATAGAAGGAAGGAAATAAAGAGGGTTGAAATATATTGTCAATTCAAAATGAAGTTTTTTAGAGTCATGGAGTGGACAAACTTGATCGTCATCATAAGAAGAATATTATTTTCAATACTTGAACTCTTCAGTGATATTTGTCATTTTTTTTTTCAAGAAGCGAACAATGGTACTAGACCAACTAAAGAATAGTCATGTGTTTTAGGTGTCTACTTTCACAAGGCCCTTTTTGTACCAAATCAATCTACGTTCAATAACGTTGGCTCTTTTACATCAACACAATCAAATCCTCAGCAAGTTGACTTATCATGGCAAATAACCATCCAAAGGGTTTGGAAAAATACAATTAATGGAAATAAATGTACATGAAATCAGAAAACAACTTTAATGAACTTCATTTTGCTGGTATCACATTTTGTTAAACAACTAATACTGCATAGTTTATTTTAGAAAATTTTACTAAGAATTTTACCATTTTTTTATGTTCTTATTGTCAGGACTGATAGATGACAAAGTAGCAGGTGTAAATGAAGCCTGTAAACAGGGAGAACAAAGAATTACTAGGAATTTTGAGAATAGTGCAATTTTTCCATCCCTTGCATCAGCTATTCAGTGGCTCAGAGAATATGCACAACAAAAACGGCCAATCCGTCTGCAGGTAAATTGTCGTATTGGCAAACAACCAAAGATTGATTCATGAAATCCATAAAAAATCAAGAGAAATCACTAGATTGTCTACATGTTGACCTTTAAAGTCACATATTCGAATGATGGAAATAGCTTTTCTTCAACGAGGGTGTCCAAGCATCACCATCTACTCCACATAGCTAACACCTTAATGTTCCAGATATTCCATACGAATATATCTTTTTAATTATGAGATGTTATGTTGACTACATGCTATCTTATTAATCATATAATTTCGATTATTCAAGGTGATGTCACCCCCTTCTGGCCTTCTCCATTCTTTATCAAGGGCAATTTCCTTTTCCTATTACACTTTGAGTTTTTAGTTGTCTACTTTGTGCATTCATTTCAAAGTGGCGACAAAGTCTCCCCTTAGATCATTCAGTGTTTCGTTTTAGGATTTTTTTTTCTAGAAAGGATATTATTATTATGATTTGACAATTAAACAGATGTCATTTTTTATGAGTTTTGTCTCTACTTTTATAGTCTTTTTTCCTATGAACCATCATCTTCATATGTTCCTCTATACCTATATCATCATCTCTAATGGTTTTACACACGTCTACCTCATCCTCCTATAACAAAACTTTCCTCCAAATCATCCAACTCGGCTAAGAATTTGCTTCTTAAGTAGTTATCATATCTGTATGTACCCATTGCCTTATAAAAAAGGAAAATAATGACTTATTGATCATCATGTTCATTCTTCTGTGTCATTTTATCATCTTTCTTCTATCACGACCCGGCCCGGTGAGCTCGCATAGGTGAGACGGGAACGGAAGTCGGACGGTAGACTAAATTATCTAATCTTTAAAAAATATCATCATAACATTTGAAAGATCCAGGAAAACATTAATTTTGAAACACATAAACATAATATCATTAATATTCAAATGGTTACTTTTCTTCCGACACGCCTCTCCTATGATACACGTTTCCACCCATTCTATTCATTATGATTTAAAATAATTAAACCTAAATTTTTTTAACAATTAACAGTAAGTCAATGCTTAGTAAGTAAAACATGTCTCTAAACTACAGTAATTCAAGACAAAATAAGCAATATGCTAGATGTCACATTTCATTTAAAAAAGTTATAAATTGATTTCTTCCTATAAATATAACATTAACATAAACATAAATCATAAAACCATATCTTTTATATTCATTTTCATATTCATATTAATATTCGTAACTTTCTCATTTCGTATATATTACAACCGTCACAGGAGCCACCGTCTAGTACCAAAAATTACTCATTTACCATTTCCTTTTTTCATAACTTTTACTATTTTAACGTGCACGAGTACATCGTCCCCAGCTAATATCATAAGGGGGTGAGCTCCATCAATTCAGCATGCACATACAAGCATTCTATAACAATCATATCATAATCATTTCATCTCATTTCTATAAAATATGAACTTTATGTAATAATGTCATGAAGTATAACATATAAATCGCATGATCAATCATATGATAAGAATAACATAATCATGATCTAAAGTAACCATAAAAAAATTTCATAAACATGCTTAGTCTTTCAAAACATATAACTGGAGAGAAAACAAAGATATCACTGTAATAAAGAACCATTAATACTTACAAAAATTAAGAAATTGATTTGATTACTCCACTCGAACACCTTCCTTCGAGGTCCACAATTATCACCTATAAGCATTAATTTCTCCTTCAAAATCTTCATAATAAATGTAAATTAAAATCTTGTTCTCTTTCTAAACCATCCTAAGTTCTCTCTCTCCCTTTCTCTCTCTCTCTCTAATTGATCACATAAAGCATGTATATATTCTAAAAAATTCATATTTTATTCTTATTACATATTTTAACCAAATTAATCCTTTTACCCTAATCTAATTTAATTTAAACTAATTTCTATTTTCGAATTTAAAATAAATTAAAATTACAAAAATTGCATTTTGTGGGAAAAAACCTAATCTATAGCATTAGGAACCTTCCTATGATCATTTGAAACAATACTTCTCAAGAAATTTCTTAAAAATCTATCAATATGAAAAAAACCCTAATTTTTCTAACTCCACATTTTGAAGAAAAAGCCTCATTCCATGCATAAAATTATCTCCTAATCATTCCCTATACATTTCTTAAAGAAAATAGAAGTTTTGTCAAACCCTAAATTCTTCATCTCAAAATATCTAAGAGAAAATAAAGATTTCTAGGTTTAGAAACATACCTTAGTGCTCCTTAGGCTTTACCATACAATTTCCCTCCAAGAACCTCGCCGGAAAACCGCCCTACCATCGTCGCTGAAGCCTCTCGCCGCTCCCTTCCGTCCGCCCCCTTATGTTTGGTTGCGTGCTCCCTTGGTTCGACCGAACAAAACATGCAAATGAAATGAAGAGGGATCAGCCTCTTCATAACTTAGGGAGTTAGGGAAAATCCAATTACCCAAATTCCCTCACTTAAAGCATCCATGCTTTAGTAATCACTTGGGGTAATTTAGATATTATGAGGTTTTTGAAATTTTTATCTCCCAAATTAAACTAAATTAGATATAGGTTTTATATATCAATTTGTTCAGAATTTTGCATAGAATTTTATAAAATTATATTCGTCAAATTCTGACGACTTTGAAAAATTTTCTTAAATCTCGTTGCGACCCATTGAAGAGTTTGCGATGATTAAAATGGTATTTTTTGGGTTTTACAATTCTCCCATCCTAATAAAAATTTCGTTCTCAAAATTTACATACAACATCTATTTACAATTTAATCAACATCTTCCATTTCAATTAACATAAACTTCAATATTAGAACATAACAAACTAATCATCTGATATATCATAACAAAATAATCCGATTAACCCAAAATATCTGATATAACATAACAAGATAAACTACTAAATGCAAAACATCAGATTTGATTTAACATTACAAGTCACTAAAAATAGTCAATAAAGCCATCTCAATTATCCTTGTCAACATCCATGGATTCATTAGGCTCATACTGAGTCAAAGTGTAAACTCGCGGTCTGACATTTTGTCTTGATTGATTTTGCATTGAACCTGCAACTGATGGTTCTATCATCTTTTGTTTGCCAAAGTTCTCTGTGAAGGTGCTTCATTTGATCTCATTTCTCCTGAAGTCTTCTGAACCAATGCAGGACAATATTTTGATATGTGTACAAGCTGATGGCACCAATAGCAAGTGTTAGAACCAATCAAACATTCACCCTTATGTAATCTACCACACTTAGCAGTCTGTCTCCCTCCATTGAGTATCCTGGGTGACTACCCTCCTCTTTCAGTAAATCTGACTTGATCCTTCACATATCTTTATCTCTAGCACTTTCTTCTCTGATGGCCTCCCAGTCAAGCATCAAAGGAACGGATAGTACCACTGTCTATAGCTCCCCCATACATCTGGACAAAGCATCTGCCGCCTTGTTCTCCACCCCCGGTCTATATTGAATCTTAAAGTCGTACCCTAGCAACTTGGATAGTCACCTTTGATGCTCCTCTGTCACCATCCGCTGTTCCAGCAGGTATTTCTTGCTCCGCTGATCCGTCTTGACAATGAAATGCCTCCCAAGTAGGTAGGGCCACCACTTCTGGATGGCCAAAATGATGACCATTAATTCTCTCTCATAAATTGATTTTAGCCGGGCTCTAGCAATTAATACATGGCTGAAATAGACAATGGGCCTACGACTCTGCATAAGCACTACACCCAGCCCGTACCCAGACGCATTTGTCTCCACAATGAAGGTCTGAGTGAAATCTGGAAAAGCTAGGCTGACACTGTAGTCATCGCCTTCTTCAAGCTCTCAAATACTGATGTGGCTGCCTCCCCCCTCATAGGAACCCATCCTTCTTCAGCCACTCAGTGAGTGGCCATGCTATGGAGCTGTATCCCTTAACGAACCTCATGTAATAACATGTCAGTCCTAGGAATCCCCTCAACTCCTTCAGATTTTTCGGCACTAGCCACCTTAGCATTGCTTCAATTTTGGACTGATCTGCTGCCACTTCTTTTGATACCACATGTCCCAAGTACTCTACACTGGCTTGTGCAAAACATCATATCTTCAAATTAGCCCTCAACTGGTGCTCCTGCAGTACCTCTAACACCCTTTTCAAATGCTCCCTGTGCTCCCCTGTCTTGATGTAGACCAGGATGTCGTCAAAGAATACCAGTACAAATTGTCTGAGATAAGGTTTGAAAACCTTATTCATAAGGGCCTAGAAAGTAGCTGGAGTATTGGTGAGGCCGAATGGCATCACCAGGAACTCATAATGTCCTTCATGAGTTCTAAAGGTCGTCTTGGGTACATCTTCCTTCATTCAGATCTGATGGTAACCCGATTTCAAGTCTATCTTTCTAAAGATCACAGTCCCACTCAATTCATGTAGCAGCTCGTCAATGACTGGTATAGGAAACTTGTCAGGTACAGTTTCCTTGTTTAGTGCTATATAGTTCACACAAAAATGCCAGTTGTCATCCTTCTTTTTTACCAACAGAATGGGGCTAGAGAAGGGACTGCTGCTGGGTCTGATGATCTCTGCCTCCAGCATCTCTTTAATCAACCTTTCTATTTCATTCTTCTGGAACTAAGGGTAGTGATAAGGCCGGACACTGATGGACGACACTCCCTCCTTTAATACGATGGCATGCTCCTGCTCCCTTGCGGTGGCAATCCCTGAGGTGGCTGAAACACCTCTTGGAACTGTTGAATCAACGGTTGAATGGAGAGGGGTATGTCTCCTCCCTCCTCCAATTTCACTCCCTCCAAATTGTGCAACTCCACCAAATACCCTCCGTCTGCCAACTGGATGTCCCTCACCATCGTTTTAAGAGAAACCAGTGATTTGGAAAGCCCCGCATCCCCTTTAATCACTACCTTCCTTCCACCCAATTCACTTTGGTGTCTCCCAAAGTTTGCAGCCATTTCATCCTCAGGATGACGTCCGTGCTCCCAAGCTCTAGTGGAAGAAAGTCTTCCCTCACCTTTATCCCCTAGATCGTCAGTCGCACTCCTCTGCAAATCCCCTGGCCTTTCTCCACCTTTCCCGTACCCATCATCACTCAGTAAAAGCCTGTGTCTACCAATCTCACTCCAGTTGGTCGACGACCTGGGTGGAAATTAAATTGTGAGTAGTCCCACTATCAATCAACACCACAACCTCCCTGTCCTCTATCTCTCCCTTCACCTTCATGGTGTGATTCGTAGTGAATCCTACCACTGAGTTCAGGGAAACCTCAGCCAGATCCAAGTGTAGCTTCTCCTTCATCTCCTCCTCTGTCTCCTCCTCACCTCCCTCCTCAGTTTCCTCTTCATCGCAAACGATGAGAATCTGAAGAGTTCGGTCCTTACAGCGATGCCCTGGTGTGTACTTTTCATCGCATCGAAAGTACAACCCCTTAGCCCTTTTCTCCTGTATCTTTTTTCTCTGTCAGTTGCTTGAAGTTTCCCCCATTTCCTCCTCATGTCTTCTCCTTGGTGGCCTCTCGACTCCCTCCTGTTGCAGGACCTTTAGGTACGAGATGAGTGGTCGTCATCCTGTACGTGCCCCCGGTACTGCTACTCTTGGCTCCCTTCTCCAAATTCCTTTGATTTTTCACCAGTTGGGCCAACTTCATGGCGTCCCCCAAGTCACAGGGCATCAAAACCTTCACTGCAGCTAGAATCACCGCCTTCAGCCCTTTCGTGAAATTTTCCTCCAATATTGTGTCTGAGAGTCGCTTCACCCTGCTAGCTAGGTGCTCAAACTACTCTTGGTAATCTGCTACTGATCTCTCCTGTGTTAGAGCAAAGAACTATTCATAGAAATTTCCTCCCCGATCGGTTTGAAAATGCTCTATTATGCAGCCTTCCCTCGCTCTGCCATAGCCCAAACTCCATTCGAAATCCCCCCTTCTATCTTTAAAATCAGCACCTCGACAGCCATAGTATCCCTCCTGGCGATCCCCATATCCTCCTCTTTCTTCCCTCTGGACAGGCTCTAGATGGGGTCTTCTTGCTTCTCCTTCCACGATCTCCACCTCATCTTCCTCCCTACGGATTTCAGAATTCTTACTTTTTCCTTCCATCCCTTTTTCCACTGAAGCTGCCGTTTGATTTTGAACCTCTAACATTTTCTTCATCATATCTCGGAGGTCGCGACTTGTCCCTCCATGGAAGAAATCCTTTCCTCCATTGTCGTTTTGATTTGATTCATCTCCCCTTCAAGTCTTTCCTCCAAGACATCCACTTTTTTGGCCGCCATCACAATCCTGCATTTGTAGATTCACAAAAACAGGATTTTGGAGTAAAAAAACAGCAACTTCTTCCTATTTGGAGTGAAAAGCTGCTGCTGGAATCCATCGAAAACAGCCCTCCACCGGTCCCGAGACTTGCTCTGATATCAATTTGATAGGAAATACTTGAGTTCGCAAGTAACCCTAAGGGAATACTTGAGTTTGCAAGCAAACCTATCACTAATTGAAGAGAAAACAGCGAGAATAGAGCAAAATTTGGGCAAATTAGTCCCAAAACAATAGATTGCAATAAACGAACAAAACAAAACCAACACAAAAGCAAGATACAAGTGATCCTCAATTCGAGAGGAGGATCGTCTCTCCTACATCTCTAAACAAAAGAGTCTAGAGCCCAAACACCAATAAACCCTAATTCTCAATCAATCAAAACATGAAAAAACTCTTCATCCCCTTTAATACAAAAGGTTTCCTAATATATTTTCCCTCCCAACCCTAATCTCTCCACTCCGTTTGAATTTTTAATCAATTGGCATAGTGGGGCCCGCCCCATTAGGCAAACCAAGCGAAGGAGGTGGAAGCCTCCGCCTCCTATAGACCAGCGGCTACCTTTGGGCCGGTTGGTTCTGGACCGGTTCAGTGTGAACCGGTCTAACAGATTTTTATAACTTTATTTGGGTATGGACCTGAAATGATTTACATTGAGAATTGAGGATTTTTTTTTAGATAGAGTTTCCTCTTGTTGAGATTCATTATCAATATGGTCATCATCAGTGTGAAATTAAAACCACTTGAAGTTTTTATGTTTGCAACATGAAAATTTAATTTTTAAAATGGACCTCTCCGGTTGAGAATTGTTTTCAAAATGACCATCATCAGGATAACATTGAAATCATTTGAAGTATTTATATTTGCAATTAAAATTTGATTTTTGAAATGGATCTCTTTAGTTGAGATTTTATTTCAACACGACCATCGTCGAGTAGTTTGGATATTTTATTTTGTTATTTTTGATCTTGTTGACTCTTGAAACATACTTGCAAAGGATTTTGTCTTATTTGATCACATTTCATTATAAACCCATGCAGTGTGCTCAGACAAGTTCAGACATTTAGTGTATTTATCGGAGCACATGGAAAAATTTTGATCTTTAAATACTTATGCATAATTTAAATGATGCGCACATTTTTTTATGAATTTATAGTGCATTTGCATGCAATACATGTGCGTGGTGCACTTGCATGCTTTCCGAAGTTGAGTACTTTTTCTCAAGATGAATGAAATTTAAATTCGTTATTTACTTTAACCCATGCAGCATTCTTGGTTTTCAAGTTTATGAATTTGGTGTATTTGGTTAGAGTACGTGTGGGCATTTCAGTTTGAAAGGGGTTTGCAAATTTCTAGATAATTTTTAGCCATGTAAAGTAGTTGTGCATTTTTCAAAATGAGGTATTTTAATTCAACTCGCTTTTAATCCCGCTCGACATTATCAAATTTTATATTTGTCGGAGAATTTAGTATATTTGTCAGAGCATTGATTTAAAAGAGGTGATTTTAGTTTAACTTAGCTTTTAATTTGGCACAACATTTTCAGACTTTGTATTTGAGCATGCATTTTGTATGTTTGTTGGAGCACATAATGAGAACTTTGACTTTTTTTTTTAAAGTAGTGTACATATTTTTTGACACATTTACACAATACCCATGCACATTTTTCATTGCATGGTGCATTCGAATGGTGCATTTGCACATTTTTCAATGAAATTATGCACTTTTTTGTGTGCCTATGTGATGTGCTTGAATGCTTCACATTGCATTTCTATAGCATATTTGCCCACTTTGCGTTCATATCATTCACATTGTGAGTTTTTGCGTTTATATATTTTTAGTTGAGTACTATTGTTTGCAAATCATTTTTAATTTGTTATTTTTAAATCCCCTGTTCAGTGGAAAATTTGGTAGCCTCTTAGCCTATTCCCCTCGTAGGAGGCGTTATCAGGACTGTTAGGCTTGCCCACCATGCTTAAAAAAAAGGATGGTTGGTGTTATGTGATATCACTACTGGGGTTTTGCACTCTGAAAAGTGCTCGTGGTCTTCATCATTTGCATGAGCAAAAAGATAGATTTTCCATGCCACATTTGAATAACACGTGTACTTATTTCGAATTTCTCTGCAATGTTAGAACAATGCAGACGAGCACATAGTTTTGAGATTTTTAAATTATACCTTTGTGCGAGGTGGCTGACTACGTGGAAATTACAAGGCGATAAAAATACAAGTTTTTTTTTTGAAATTTCTATCTTTTTTATATTTTTTACTTTTTTTTTTATTTGCTCATCTTTTTGTGTGCTTCTCTTTTTTTAACATTTATATAGAGAGAGTGTATAGAGAGGGGAGAGAATTAGAGAGATTGAAGTTTTTCTCCCCATTTAGAGAGAGGAAGAAGGGTGGAGGTGATGTTTGTGTAGGTCTGTTGGTGTTGGTCAAGGGCGGCTATGTGGGCTAGCACGTGTGGGGGGAGGTGGCTGGATGAGAGGAGTGGAAGAGAAGTGTGCGTGTATATATAATTGATAATGTTAAGGGAAAACAAAATTGAATTGACCCCTCATAATTTCCAGTTTTCATCTATCTTGATCTGTGTGTTAATACGTTGATAAATTTTGCATTTCGACTCGTGCGGCAACCCAAACAATATGAATATTTTCTTTGTAATTTCGATTTTCCGAATTCGTTGGCGCAATCTATCAAGCGAACAGACAACGTATGAATGATGTCACACAACATTGTGTTTATTTGTCTCTTATAAATTGAAGGGGGTTTGACGACCCATAAATATCTTTTTCTCTACCAAACCAAATGCACCAAGGGTTTATCTGGTTGTTTCTACTTAGAAAACATTATTTAGGAAATTATGATTTTACTCTCACGGTCTCTACGTTTGAAAGTAAAACTATTATATTTAAGTGATGTTGAAGTTGTTTGCCAAAGTATAAAACCAATGTTTAGTACAACTGCGGGTAGAATCTAGTAATTTTCATTAATTCTCATATCATTTTTTCTAACTTCAAGCAATTAAAGATTCATTTGGGACGGTTTTCTTAATGCTTCTTAAAGCAACCTGTTAGTACTAACAAGTTGCTTTAAGAAGCACTAAGAAAATCGTATCAAATGAAGCCTAAATGACCCTAAACAAGAACAAAGGATGGGAATGAATTCATATAACCCAATTCAAATAATAAAGATAATACTCATGAAAGCAATGGCGTCATGAATCTTCTTCAATTTCTCCAACCTGGCATTAATATAAGGCTTTGAACTCCTCAACAAAGAATTTAGACACTGCAGGTGTCATGCAATTGACTGGCACTTTATTTGGCTCATTTCAGGTTCTTGTGACTGGCTCCCTGCACCTCGTAGGAGATGCTTTAAGATTGATCAAGAAATGAACTTTTATATGAAATCGATGCCTTGTAAGAACTTTTTGCTACATACATATTATCTTTATTCTCCAACAAGCAATCATTTATTGAACTGTTGATTTAAATGCTCTGGAACATTCGAGAATCCTTCTTATGGTTTTGGTTGCTGCTTCACATCAACATCTAGAAGGCCTTATTTTAGTGGGATCAGAACTCTGTGAAGTCAATTTCTTTTGGTTACTTTAAAGCAGACGATTCTTCTCGAATGAATTCATTGCTTCTCATCATTTTCAACATCGTGTTGTTTCCTGCAAGTTTCCAAGTCAAATAGACCACCCTTGATTAATATTTTTTTTCATCTAAGATGAGTTTGCTACGGAATCTTAATGATGATTAGTATTGCTCTGATACTATAGAAAATCAATTATTTAGGGGCTGGTTGTGATTATTTTATTTACTTTTTTTATTTTTTATGTTTTAAGTTAGAATAAAATATATTTAATATTTAAAATTTTTGCTATTTTTTATTAAATATTAAATAAGTTAATTGCTGGTGGGATAGCAATGGTGGCAGCGGCGGCGGCCTGCAATAATAGTTCTTTAAAATTTTTTAAAAACTTCAGTTTTTTTACTATTTAAAAATAAATTCATTAATAAAAAGTATGAAAGAGTACATAAAATATTATTTGGATAATGTGTAGTTAATCTTAATTTGTGTTGAATTCATTAAATGAGTTATTTGAATTCAAGCATATATTCATGATTTGTCTCTATAAATGATTATTCAAGTTTTAAAATTATACATCAATGATTGTAAAATATTTTAATTAATTAATGTTATCAATTTGTTATGTTTTGAAGTCTAAGATGAAGATATCCATAAACTATCTGATTATCATTTATATAAGCAGTAATTTTATGCTGCTCATAAAATAAAGATGTTTTGAATCAATAATATACATTCATAATTATTGTACTTAACATCTTCTCTTGCTATTTTCTCTAGTTGAACACTATTGTTGAATAAAACACTAATAATATTCATTATATTAGAAATTATATTAAATAATAAAGCAATTTGAACATGAGTTTTTATAAAAAATATTAAGGCTAGTTGAAATTAGTGTATAAAATTATGAATGGAAAAATATGCCTGTAGCCTATAACTATAATGTATGCAAGTTGAGTACATTTTTGAATAAAAGTGTCGATCATTAAAATAATTTTGAGCATTCTTTTGTACAAAAAGTATAAAAGCTACAAGAACATTTTTTTTACTTTTAATTTATTAAACTGTCAAAGTAACAATTCTGTAAATTTCAATGCTCTCTTACTATTGCAAATTTGAACTCTATAGTTACAAGACAAACAAAATTTGCATGTTTTTTTTAGGATATTTATGTCAATTACGGTAAACTTTCGCACACATCACATACGCAAGCTGCGAACTTGAAACCTCTTAGTTGATAGCCAAATCTTCCAACCAACAGAACAATATGAGCTACGTCTATTTTTGCAAGTAAAGTTATTCATTTTTATTGTTTTTAAATGCCCAAACATTTGAACACTTAAACTAAAACTTACATTAAATTATAAATAGTGGATGTCGGCGAGCCTTATGATGAGCCTACTATGATAGCAAGGGATATGCGCAATGAGCTTGTGAAGCTAGCATGCGCCTCAAGGTTTGATGGATTGGGGTAATTAGGGCTATATTTTGGGAGAAATTGTTCTGTGCGGGCTCCGGACGTAGCTCTATGTCCGGAATCCAATTAAATTAGACACATGTATTTCTTAAAACCAGACGACCCGGCCTAGCCTAGTTAAGAAAATTTTAAAATCGCGTCAGCCCGCTCATTTTTTATGTTTTTAGAAAAGAAACCCGCGAAAGCTCTCAAATATTTAGTATTTTTGCGGAATAAAACTTTTGGTGCTTTGAGGAAAAAAAAAAGATAAATTGGCGATGAGGATGGAGATTGGTTTGCAGTACTTCACATTCTCTGTAGAGCCATTGGAAAAGAAGAAAAAATTTAATAGTAAGATGTATTTTACTTACCTAATAATTTCTTTTCAATGTCTATTATGAAGCAATACAAGTTTTGTCTAGCTTAATTTTTCAATAAAGAAATATGTAGTAAATTTAAATATAATATAATTGTGTTCATCTTCAAGGCATATCAAGTTCTCAAAGAAGCCCAAATACTTTAACGAGGAATTTATAAACTGGGCAATAATGTTTTTTGTGTATTTTTGTGATATTTGACACTCATTCAATTAGAATGCATTCTTAAAAAATTGATATTTTTAATGTCATGAAAGTGCATGCTTCTATAAATCATCTATGTAAAATTTTATTTAAAATGATAATTTTTGAACGTTTATTTATTCTCTCAAATGTAATTATTATATTTTTTTCTTTTTTTGTTTATGTGATGGTTTGTTCATTTTGATGCTTTGTACCACTGTGCATCGCCGTGTATTGATGTGTAATGTTGTATATTGTTGCTATATACTACTGTGTATTGCTGCATATTGTTGTTACATACTACTGTATACTGCATGAATTTTTTTAGTAGCAATACACAACAACAACATACAACAATACAAAATAATACACAACAATATATAATAATATAATTTGAAATTATTTATATGTGTTATATGATATTCTTAAGATGAATTTTTTTTGAACTAATCCACCTCTCTTGCCTGCCCCAATTAGGTTATCATTGAGTTGAGATAAGTTCAAGCCAGCTTTTATTTGAACTTGAATTTAATTTGATTAATTGATCAAGTTTAATCTTTTACAAGTTGGTTTATTTATTTGGAAAAAACAAATAATTTTAATTAGTTTATAATCAAATTATATAATGAAGAATAAATTAGAAAAATAATAAAAATTTAATTGATATAAAATTAGATGTATTTTTTTAATATTTTAAATAACTTTTTATTTAAATTTAATAAATATTTTTTAATGAGTAGACCAGAATTAATTCAAATTTAATTAATTAGATGAGGGGCCGTGAGACTTGACTTGAGGAAATTCACGTGTCGCGCATTTTATCTGGATAAGCCAAAAAGGCATAAAAGGAAGGGAATCGCGTACAACATCTAAGCGAGTTCAGGTTCTCTCTTCCGTGGGCGTGCGAATCCCTGTACGCTGCATTTCAAGCGATTTCTCGATCTCTCTTGCTGCGGCTACGACTTATATCTGTGGGTAAGCTGCTCGTCTTCTCGTTGTGTCTCTTGCCGAGGTGCTCTAGGTTTCCGGAGATGGCAAGTGGTGGCGGCGGTTTCCGCGGAGGGAGGGTGGTGGGGGATTACATGATCGGCCGGCAGATTGGCTCTGGATCTTTCTCGGTTGTGTGGCTTGCGCGGCACCGTGTGAACGGCGCGGAGGTGGCGGTGAAAGAGATCGTCATGGACACGCTCAGTAAGAAGCTGAGAGAAAGCCTCCTTTCTGAGATCGTAATCCTCAAGCACATTAAACACCCCAACATCATCGCATTGCACGACATCATTGAGGCATGTTACCGTCCTTCGTGCATCTCCTGTTTCTTCGTGCGGTTCTTTGCCTCTTTGAGCTTACCCCGGTTTTCGTTCTTATTATAAGTTAATTCGCGAAAATTTGTGCTGAAGTCGGGTGAAACGCATCTCTTAATCAAGCGTGTGAAATGAGAAGATGATTGAGAAATCCGTGCTTGAGGAAGACATAAAGTTCTGTGAAATGCAGCATAGCCGTTATTGGGATAGCCAATGTCATTTTCTTACCGTAGCAAATCTTGTTGTATATGAGGCCTTAAATTATTGCTGATGTCGTTAGGTCTGGTGCCTTGATTATGTCGAAGAAGAACAAAGAAAACAATTGTAGGACACCCGAAATAGCTGAATTGTAATCAACTCTACTAAGAGGAGAGTTTGGTAGAAATGGCACTGGAGATAGGGTTAATGCCAAGACTTGGAAGCTTTGTTTGTTCAATTGAAACTGGTGGAAAGTGATAGCAATTGAGTCCTCATGTAGATGTTCTGGATTTCTTTCAAGTGAATGAAGCAAGAAAGTACTGATCATGAGAAAAAATTTCATATTCTGAATTCATTTTATGTAGAAAAATGTCGTATTGTTGATTCACTAATGCGGTGCTTATATTATGTTTGGTTGGATTCAAAGTAGTTACAAATTGAAGACATAGAATGTCCTATTTTGTTGTGAGGTTAGTGCGTTCCTTTTATTGTTGATTCACTTGCTACCACAAATTTTGCCACATTTATTTTTCAGGGATTAGTTTAATTGCAACACATTTCTTCGAAGGAGTCACACTACTTTATAGACTTTTTGTGATAGCAAGTTCTTAAATATAAATTAGTCAACTGTCCAATCATTAGTGCCATTTTGTGTTCTCAAATTTTGTACATAATTTACTATCTTGTTTTTTCTATTTCAGGCTTCTGGTAGGGTTTATCTTATATTGGAATACTGCAGAGGTGGTGACCTAGCACGGTATATACAAAAACAAGGAAAGGTTCCAGAAGCAACAGCAAAGCACTTTATGCAACAACTAGGTTTGATGAGTGCATTAATTGTACATCATAGTTTTTTCATTCTGTTATAAGTTTCCTTCTAGTCATGAAATACTTTTGTGTTTTTACTTATGTATATTTGCTTTTGCATTCTTTCCAACATGTTGAGCAGCTAGTGGTTTGTATGTTCTTCGTGAAAATAATCTTGTTCATCGAGATTTGAAGCCTCAGGTATGTAGCATATTGTGAGTTCTTAAAACATTCATCTTTAAGTTTTCATCCTTAATGGTCTTCTCCTTCTTATGTGTTGCAGGACATCTTAGGGTCTAGAATTGTTAATGGGACTTTATGATGTAATGCACCAAAATCACGTGCATGTTAATCACATACACATAATCAAATTTACAATTCATAGACTATCGATTTGAGGAAGTTTTATCTCTTTTGATGAAAATTAGACAAACACAAACTTTGTCCCTAATGATAATTTAATGATCCTCCAAATTAAAATTTAGTATCGAGATTCAAGATTAATAAAACCACTTAGATGTTTATAAATCAAACTACAATCATAATTCCAAATTATATGAGTTGTGTCTAAATTCAATAATGCATGCAAACTAGTAATTAAAATATAGAATAGAAGAGATTAAGGAAAGAAATCACCAAAGTGTTAATTTAGGCCTCATGTTCGTATGAGGAGTTAGTTTCTTCTAGAATTTTATAATTACCACTTCCATAATCTAGAAAGATCCACGTCCAACCAACACTCAAAGAAGGATGAAACAAAAAACTTGAGAAATATTTATTGGAAAGCTATTCTTGACATGTCTAAGATATTGCTTATTTATCATAAAAACACTTCCAAATTCAACACCCTCTTGCCATCCACAAGTCATAGATAAGCTACTAAAGAATTGTAGCCAGCTATAGTATTGAGTCTATTGACCTCATATCACATTAGAAGGAGATGCAATTCACGCTGGCTATAGGAGCCAAACAACTATCCTGCTCGAACTTGTGCCACGCCTTTTAGGAGCAATCAATCATATTCAAATACATTTGCAAAAAAGTTGCAATCAATGAATTGAAGGACTCTAGCTTTCACGTAGTGAACTAAAGGTCTCCTTTTTTTTTATCAAATAGTAAAACAACTATAGTGAACCAAGCAGTAAACCATTGAACAAATAATTAAGCATAGATGACCAAACTAAGTGTCAAAACCAACACAATGAACCATCGATTGGACACACAGAACCAAACCAGAGTAAATGACAACCAATTCATTATAGGGAATCCTCATAGGTTTGTTTTCAATGAACAAAAGCATAAATTGGAAAAACCAAGAAAATAGAATCAATTTAAATAAAACTATTGCTTAAATTATAAATCTCATTTTTTTGGATGAGTATAAACTTTAACATTTACATTAAATATGCCTTATTTGAAAACATTGGCTTTGACGAATTGAGCATTTGATAGTCATCAAGCATTTGGGCATAATTATTGGGCTTCATGTATAGGAATTCATGAATCATCATATGTAGGTTTATCATGACAATGCATAAGATATATGCATTATCTCCCATCAGTAGTGGACCTAGTCTTTATCATTTAATATTGCTTTTGGGACAAGATGTTTTGAGCTTTATTGTAAAGTGTTTAGGCGTCTTACCAATGAGGAAAAGGAAAAAAAAGTAAAAAATTTAAGTCATTTGTGACTAGTTTATAGAATGCAGTCAAATTATATATACATTAATGACAAATACTAAAATTTTAAAGAAATTTGTTTTATAAATTATTCATCCCAATGCATTGTATCATTTTGATATAGCCTTGTCTTTCTAGTATTTAATTTCTTGAAGCTTCCTATACGAAACTTTTCAGCATTTAGTCGTATCATTATTTATATAACCTAATTTTAATTCTGCACAACTCATTCACATCAACAGATATAATTTTCATAATTAATTGTTGATTCTACGCAGCCCTGTGGGATTTATTTTGATTATTTGTGCTAATATTAATATTGATCTCTTGCTCTTTCTCTATCTCCCTTTCTATTTTCATTTGTACCATTTGTGATCTTGTTTTCCTGACTTCTTCCAAACATTGATCTTGACGTGATCTAATTTGCTATTGTTATAATTGTGAGTGAGCCATGTTCCAACAAGCATTGGAGTAATAGAAATTTTATATAGACCGGCTATTCTAGAAAACTATAAGAGCAAGCCCATAGCTAGAAATCTTATTTGGTACCTGATATCATGGATGTTTCCTTCTACTCAATAATATCTTTGAGAATGTGAACCAAAAAATGTGCCTATGGGATAATTCAAGTGGTATGTCTCTGCTAAGTTCAGGTTCTTCAAAATCAGAAAAACCAATTACTTTAGTGATATTTAAAGATTCAAACTTCACATCATAACTTAGTACAATCTACAGATTTTGGATTTATTCTCTCTCTCTCTCTCTCTCTCTCTCTCTCTCTCTCTATATATATATATATGAGCACGTGCGTTGAAATCTGCTGAAAAAAAAAACTTGTAATTGGTATCAGTGGGAGCGTAATTGGGGTCTTTCGCTGAAGCGTTCTAAATCATTAGATCTTACAAAAAAAGGTTGGAGCATGAGCATGCTTGCATTGCCATTTATCTAAGTGGTCTAATGTTATGATTATTATATGACAGAATCTACTCCTCTCATCATCCAATGAAAATTCTGTGCTGAAAATTGCAGATTTTGGCTTTGCAAGGTGAGACGTGTCTATATTTTTTTATATCGTTATTTTTTAAATGTAATTTTTCATCTTATTCCCATTGGACCGAGTCTTATAATTTGATATTTTGTCATAGAAATTTCATATTTTGCATTATTTTCATGTTGTTTATTCTTGATTTACTGTTATTTGCACTGAGCTTTTCCTTACTTTATCTGTTATTTTGCGTTCAGACACTAGATGAACTCGTCTTATTTTCCCTATAAACATGTGAAGTGTTTGCAAAATTCTTCAATCAACATGTTTAGGTCATTTGGATGCTTGGACATTTCTATAAACAATAAAGTTTTACCATCTATTTAATTCACTTTTGAAGTGAACCTGGGGTACATTTTATTCTTTAGTTAAGCGAGTTTATTCTTAAGCTGGTTTCTCTGCAGTGTAATATCCTTTTGTAGTATGTACTGCTTTAAAGCTAAGGGTAATTCTCCTGGCAGGTCTTTGCAACCTCGTGGACTAGCTGAAACTTTATGTGGTTCTCCTCTATATATGGCTCCAGAAATAATGCAGCTTAAAAAATATGATGCAAAGGTGACACCATTGATCCATTCTCATAAGGTTTTTGTCAAAATCCTTCTCAAGTTAGTCTATTTCTTACTGTTGGATGTACAGGCAGATCTCTGGAGTGTCGGTACAATTTTATTTCAGCTAGTGGTAGGCAAGACTCCTTTTACTGGTAGCACTCAATTACAGGTATAATTGCTTGATTTTCACTGGCACAAAAATAACCATATAATTCTGATAAAATATTTATCTTTTTTTATCAGCTGCTGCAAAATATAATAAAATCAAATGATGTTCATTTTCCACCAGAAAGCAATTTGAGCCATGAGTGCATTCATTTATGCAAGAAGTTACTACGCCAAAATCCAGGTACCTCTTATATTATAATCACTTCAATGATCTTTGTATAACTTGTATAATACTTGATATGACATAATACACGCCCTAGCATTAACACAATTTCTTAAAGGATTCATGTCATTATTGTTCGACAAGTTTTACGCTGGCTGTTGACTACCTAACGCAACCCTCCACTTTTCTCATCCAGGACTTGGGACCTGGCAACGGCAGTGTTACCATAATATGACATAATGACAGTAGAAAATTCATTTAATGAATCACAGATTTTGATGTAAGTTTAGATTTCAAATTACCCAAAATATTTGTGTCAAAATTTTAGGAATTGATTCTGAGATTATTTGAATTCCATTATGAACTACTTATAGTTGAAGTAGTGCATTCAACAAGATGTATCCAACAATACAACAAATGCTTGAATTTAAGTTCAAATAAGCCTAAATCAAACACTCATATGTAAAGTTGAAAACTATTTGAGAGAGGGGAGGGGGGTTTCAAATGTACGTTGAATTTGGCGTCCTTATAATCTAAATGAGCATATTGACAAGATAAATTTGGCAAGTTCAATGTCACTCAATCCAAAATTCACTTCCCATCGTTTCCATGGTCCGCCATTGACATCACCCACTGTTGGCCATTGACTAACATGGATATTTGCCACCGTCTAACATCCGTTAACACTAATGTTCGATGCCCTCCTTAGATCAACTAACCCTTTTCTAGAAGGATTGATCTAACACTCTATTTCCACTTAACTTTCGGTGTTCTTCATTGAACATTGCTAGAAACATTCCAATGACCAACTCTTTTCTTCCAACGCCCAGTTTCTTGATCGCTTGGGCTCCCCTCCTATTAGGAGAGAAACCAATTCAACCACCTGCTGCCAACTGACTTCTGATTTTCCTCATTGATTGTTGTCAAACATCAGTCAATTTTTTGAGATTTTTTGATACATACTTAAACTCTTAAAAATTCACAAAATACATTGTTTGCCAACCCAACGAATTAATCTTTCATAGATTGCCAAATTATTATGCATGGACACGGTGAAACAGACACAACACGACACTGTTTGGCGTTGAAAGTTTAAAAAAGAGGTTTTGAAAAGGATAATTTTCTTTGGAATTTTTTATTTTAAAATTTCAGTCTCAAAGTCGAACACTTCATTATGAATGATATATTACCCCGGGAGGCAAAGATATCATTCCCTAATGAGTTTATATAATGAAGCTGAAAATTTCACTTCGATTGTAATAACCAAATTCGAAGAAGAACTACATATGACCCCTAAAATAAGGTTATACCTTTATTAAGGTATAAAGAAATTTAGTTTTAGTTCAAATATTAATTTATTAAAGTTTATTTTAAAATGTATTTTATGGGTTGATTGATTACTATCTTTGCTGTTCACTAGGGTCGTGAAGTTTATTTCACATTTCTTGGGGCTAAGCTAATAATGTCGTAGCCCAAGTTACCCTGTAGTAACCGATGTAAATTAGTTGACTTGATTGATATTGAGTTAAGGGTTGATAAATCTTAAATCGATTGATTGATTACTAGTTTGAATAATTAAAATGGAATTTTGAATTTTAAATGAATTATTGAGTTTTGGATTGCAGTAAATTAAGGATCAAAAATTGATTTTTTAAATTAGAGTGAATTTTAAAGTTTTATTATTTTTCCTAAATAATAGATATTGAGATGAGTAATAAGACTCTAAGTTTGCTAAATTTGAAATTTTATATATTAAGTTAATTTTTTTTTAAGTTTTGACTTGTTTTGAACTACGATTAATCGAAAAGTTGATTTTTTTTAGTTTGATTGAATTTTGGAGGTTTGATATTTTTAGAAAATAGTATTTTTTAAGTTGCGTTGAATGACATTGAGTTTGATCAAATTGGAATTTTCTAGAATTAATTATGATTTTTTAAAGTTTGGATATCTAATTAATTTTTAAAATTGTTTTTTTAGAAATGATGTGGGGATTTTGATCCAAATCAATCCCAAACTCCTTGAAATCATCACTAAAGGTCACAAATGACCTAAGAGGACAATTCCAAGTGTCCAAGGATTTTTTTGAAAATTAAAAAAAAAAAATAATTAATTAAAATTTTTAAAGGTTGATTTTCATTGAAAATTAGATTAAGGTTGTAATTGAGGTTGTTTGATAAGGTTTTTAATTTTCATGGATGGCTGATTCAATTTTGATCAATTTGATATGCTATATATGAATTTTTAGGATTTAATTTGAATTAATTATAATTTAATTAAGGCTCTAGGCCAAATCTATGGGTGATTTTGGGTTCCCTAGTTGGTGGACCAAATGGGCTCCATTTCTAGTGAAACTTGGGCCATGAGTTCACCTGACCTCAAGGCCCAAGCTCGCTGACTTTGGGCTCAAATTGAATCCTCTAATGTGGTTAACCAAACCACCTAAGGTACCATAGGGTTACCTTAAAAAAATTATAACTCACTACCTAGAGGAAGGGGGAGGATTCACAATTAACACAAAAAGAAACACAACCTAATTCTCATTTGATAGATCATTATGTCAATTTAAACTTAGTGGGTCAAACCATGACCCATAAGTTTAAATTGAATCAAATAAATAGAGGGGAGAAAATTTGGACATGTCAGAGACATGCCCAAATTCAATTCTCCAAAATCTCAGGTTGTGGTGAGTTCAATTTTAGGAGAAATGATTGAAATACCCCTAGGATAACTATTGGAATTAATTAAGTTGCATGCAAGTTCACAACTTGAGATCATAGGGCTTTTAAAGATCTCCTTGAGATCTTTCCAATGAGCCTATGAACACTTAATTTGGTCAAGTAGATTGGTTAAGTAGGATGGATGACTGCCAAGTGGAGGGGTCATCTCTGAGCCTCGTGAGGTCGACGTCAGTTAGCTCAGGCTCTGAAATGCCTTTGGACAAAGCTCGAGATGGAAGGGACCACTGGAGCTCTGATCTGCTTGCTTCGGCGGCTGGTAGCCACTAGTTGGGTCAGGATGAAGTGGAAAGTTTGCTAGAGGTTAGGTGAGCTCCATTGGGTAGAAGGCAGCCCAATTCAACAATGGGTTTGGGTTGACCCAAACCTGAAAGGTTGGGTGCAATTTGGGTAAAGCTTGGTCATGGGATTGATGTGGGAGGTGCATTGGGTCAAGGGCTACCTAATGCAAGTGTCAATTGGGTCTGGTCTGGTCTGTGGTTAGAAATGGCTCAGGTCAAAGTGGTCAAAACCACTTTGGCTTAGCCCAAGTGTTGACCTAAGTCAACCGAAGGGTTCAACTGGCTAGGGTAGTGTGTTGGAGCTAGGGCCACCCAATGGAGGTATTGGTTTGGCTAGGTGGAGCCTAGGCTGGAAAATGACTCAACCCTTAGTGGTTTTGATCACTTTGGGCTAGCCTTATTCCCAACCTAAGTTGACGCAAGGGCTGGGTCAGCTAGGATAGATGCATTGGGTCATGGGGGACTCAATGACGCCATTGGTTTGATCCAATTTGGCTCATGGGAGATCTCTTTTTGGACATTTGGGTCAAGCCAAGGGGTTAACCCAAGTGAGCCCAAGGCTTGGGCCTTCAAGATGGATCTCCTAAGGACCCAATGGATCATCCCATGGGTTTGAATGGGTTTGGCAAGGCCTTGTTAAAGAATTTGAAAGAGATAAAGGTGTATGTAAGCTTGGTCAAACTTGATTGATTTAGTCAACTAAGTTAACGTAGGGTCAAGGGTTGGGTCCACTGAGTTTGGATTGACCATTTGAGTCTAATGGAAGCGGTTCCAAGTGCTAAAGAGTTGATTTGGGTTGAAATGTAATTTTTAAAAGTTTAAGGGGAGTTTGGTCAACCATAGTTGACTTGGTGAACTAGGTCAAACCAAGGGTTGAGTTTGAGCTCAACAAGTTTGAATTGATCAATGGAGACCAATAAAGGTGGTCCCATGCCAAGAAAAATTCATTTGGATTGGGTGTTTAAACCCTTAAGGGATATTTTGATCAACCATGGTTGACTTGGTCAATAAGGTTAAATCAAAGGCTAGGTTTGAGCTTAATGTATTCCTAATGATGTTTAGGATGCATTAAAAGAGGTTTTAAGATTTGATATGATTTGTGCTTTGGTGAAAAATCCATAAATGCTCTTAAAGGAAATTTTGGTCATTTTGACCCCTAGTCAATTATGGGTTAAATTGGGTCTAGCAAAATGCAGTTTACTGGTCAATATGTCATATTAGAAGCTATGGGCATGATTAAGGGTTTTGGGGAAGGTACCAAAGTCAATTTCTACTAAATAGTAAGTCCAGTGACATAAGCTGTAAATATTTGGAGATTTTATAGCATTTGGAAATCCATTCAATTTTTGGGGTTGGAAATGTTAGATTGAGCTCAAATATGGAGTGTTGACTCTAGGGACATGCTTAATTAAAATGCAATTGATAGACCCTAAATAAGAAGCCATTTGACTGGGTCTCAAGGTGACAGAAAAATCACCTAGAAAGGGTTTTATGACTTGGTTCCCTAACCCTGAGATTTGGTTCGGAATCCTAGATTTGGATTGGATTTTTTGGACTTGAATGGTTGACTTTAAAATACCTACATCAATGACAATCAAATGAATGATTGAGATTGATTGTATATGATTTGAAAGTTAATTGAAGGTTGATTGAAGGCTAGGCTAGAATTTGGAGTTGAGAATTGGAATGGAAATTGTATGGGAAAATCATGGTTTAAAATTGCGCAATAAGAGGCGCGCCTTAGCGCAATTTCGCCCCTTTAAGCCTCAAAGCTCACGCAATGAATTCAGGATTTGAGGCGTATGCCTCAAGTTTACTGAAGCGTGCGTCACCTCACGGTTGAGAGGCGTCCATCTCTAAAAATAAAAAAAAGCTAATGTACATGACTACATGCTCAGTACTGCTAGGTATCGCTAGGTTATGCTCGGTATCTTTCCATATAAACAACTTACGAACTTTAAAAACAAGCAAAACTTTTAAATTACTCTTACAATAAAAATTT